CCCTTGAGGGTTCTCAACTCCTTCTCCTGGCAAGCTTGCTTCTCTCCCTTGGGGTGTGAGAAAAGTCTGTTGCTCTCCAACCACCAGACACGGTGCTTAGAACTTTGAAGAGATTCCTAATGTAGCTGATCCTACTGTCCTCATGGAGTACCAAGTTGGGCATAGGTTTCATGCAGTTTTGGGGGCCAAAAACCTTGAAAGGAAAAACTTTCTGATAGATATTCTTCTATGTCTATTGTTTAAGCCCACACCTCAGCTCACCAAAGCCCCAAAGCCTTACTTCATTCTCAATATTACGTTGAGTTTTGAAACTCAAAATCTTCTAATTGATTATTTCTCTTTGTTTTTCCATTAGAACAATCTTACTCTTCCCTGATGTATAATTGGTTGGGGAGAGTCCCCTTGAAGTAAAGGGAGAACCACAACTAATTTCTCAAAATTTCACCATACAACTCCCCCTACTCCCCCATACTGGCTGCTGACTTCACTCCATTCAGCTGGGCAGCAAGTCCCTCCTTTTGAAGGGCGATCAGGATGGCCCATCTCTGTGTCTACCACGGAAGAATTGATGGGAAACACAATGTAGTAAAGAAAATAGTTTAAACTGCAATCTGAATCCCCATTGTCCAAAGGGAAAGCACTAAAAATAGTCAAGGAATAAGGTGATTCTAATGAGGACATATAAACCTTTCATTTTGCCTTAGAACGAAATGCAAAAATAAGTGCCATTGATATAATTGATACAATTAGCTACATGTCTTCATTTGAGAGTTTGTTCCAGTAAAAGGGAAAGGAGTGGGAAGATATTTAAGGATTTGTTAGTTTCAAATAAGTTCCAAATATTTGAAGGGCTGTTTCTTATCCTTGGTCTTCATTCTTTTTCACTGTCATTCTGAATATGATTCAGTAAAGAGTTTGCTTTCTCATCATATGTGAATTACTGCTTTTTAAAGCACTACCTACTGCTTTGAACCACGGAGACCTGAATTCAAAGACGTCTCTGCCCTGACGTATTCTGACTGCATGGCCTTGCATACTTTGTTTAATCTTTCACAATCTGTTTTCTCATCTCTGAGGTGAGCATAATTGTACCTATCCCGTGGTGCTCTTATGAGGATAAAATAAGTTATTATAAAGGCCCAAGGAGTGAGCTCAACATGGGTAAGTTGAGTACAAGAGCTGTACTCAACCCTTCCTTCTCTGGAGAGTAAGATTTAATTGTTTGCAAAAGTGAGACCTTAATGCAATTGTTTCACTTTTTATGAAGCATAGCTGTGCCACATTCTGGGTTGAACAGCCAGTATATGTGGTAAAAATAACCTCATCCACAAGCACACAATAAGACCTAGCTCCACATGGAGACGTGGTTCCTATCAGAGCTGTGCTCCTTCCTGTCCCTGCAAGAGCAGACCATTGACTCATCCTCCTGACTCCCTTCCCAAAAGTCAGAGAACCAATTTGTACCAAACAAGAATTCTAACAGAGCCAATGCTTTCTTCACGTCCTAAATTAGGATGCGCTTTGCCAAGGCTCTGTCCAGGGCTTCCCATTGTGGTGAGGTTGAATGAAGCCCCATGCCCTGAGTGAGAGTGGTAAATGCAACATTAAATATGATTAGTTAGGCAGTGCTTGTCACTACTCCACTTATACCCTTTATTTCTTGAGAATGAGGTATTGGGTTCTTATATTTCCTTTTTTTTTTTTTTCCAGTGTGCTATAGACTTTAGCTTATGCTAGAGGTATAATAATTACCAACGCTTGTTGATTAACTGAATAGTTTCATGGAGTCTTTATCAAACGTATCATTTTATTCCTCCATTTATCAAAATAGGATGCAAAAGAAGGATCTTTAAAGAGTTTTTTTTCTATTTTTTGTTACTTTTTCACCTTTTGAGAATAAGAATGACTAGGCATAGAATGTCTTTTTTTTTGGTTTTACTAGGCACTGTGGGCTGTTCCAAAACCCAAGACATATATGTTCTCCTTCTGCAGGGAATGGTATGAACCTGAATGGGAAGGAAAGTCTCATAATCGATATTCCAGTGGAGCTATAGAACTCCCAAAGACAGGCTTGAGTCTTGGGGCAGTAGGTAATAAACACATTTATTTAAATTAATTGCCCTGGCAATCTAAGCAAATGGAATCTGAAATAGAGAATGTTGTTGAAGACAGGCTATCTTATTAGTTTCTTGTACATAGAGTTCAAATTAATGACTAACACTGGGTTCCCAAGAAAGGTAAAGAAGAGTAATAAGAAATGAATAAGGAGATTTGTAATACCACATTAGCTGACTCGATTTATAGATCATTGATTAAAATTCTTGAAAAGAATTTGTTTCCTTAAAGTAAAATTTCTATTACATAGTTTGATAGGTATCATTGGACTTTGAGTTAAAATGCTAAGGGTTCAAATCCCGTAAGGCCACGGATTAATAGAATATTCTTAGAAAGTTTTCCTGAGCTTATTTTCCTCATTTCATGTCTACCTATAACCTGGCACAGTATGTATTCAGCATTTTCTAAATCATCATCTTTATGTGGGTTATCTACCACCATATATTCTTGGTACTGTGCTACATTCTCTGAGATTACAAATAGATTTCTGAAATAGTTAAATTCACAAAATAACCAAACTTGATTTACAAGAACAGTAATTGTAATTAAGCATAATTGTATCTATAAGTAATTTTCAATAAACCATAATTTGTTGAAAAACTAATACTGAAAACACCACCAAATTATGATAAGTTGGGGAAGGGAATCTAGGAAGGTGTCAGAGTAGAGATTAATTCAAAGTGAACTTTGTGGTCAGTGTGGGCTTTTTTGGGTTCTTTTGCAGTGGATATGATAGAGGAAGTTGACAAAACTGATTACTGATAAAATTATGGAGAAGTGGGTAAACTCCACCTGGCAGAAGAGACTCAAAATTAGGGAGAAAAGATTGCACAAGGCTGATAATATCAATCGGTAGAGAATGTGGAGTATGAAGGTAAAAAGTATATTCAATCTGATAAATTATAAATGGGAGTCCCAAAGGCTTTACTCCAAAGAGATGCAGGTGACACCAGTTGGAGTGTTGGCCCAGCCCAGGATCCCTGCTCTGAGAAGACTAGCCCCACCCATCCACTCACCTACAGTGTTGGGCTTTGGAAAATGTATTTATATGATACAACCTTGAGCACCCCTAGCCAACTCCATTAGTCGCCACACTTTTGGCAAATTATTGGAAATGAATATCTCATCTGAGAAGGGTAGAAATTGGCTGGATGTCAGATCTCATCATCTCTCCAAGGAATTTAGAAATGGGAGCTAAGAATATTTTTATCAGTCTGTTGGGCAACTGAACTGAGACCATGGGAAGTCAGTGCATAGGGTTACCCTTTCGAAGCACATGAATGTGCAAAGAGAATGTAAATTCTTGGGAGGGAAGGCAGAGTGGAGAGAGGGAGAGAGAACAGGAAAGAAGAGAAAGAAGGAGAGAAAAAAAGAGAAAATATGAAACAGACACAGAGAGGAAACAGAGATGAGAAATAATAGTTTTCTGGAGAGAATGAGATAGAAAACAAGGGACCGGTCTAAGAAATATGATAAACGGATGCTCAATGGGAATAAGTGGATGATCATACATGAAACTGCAGGGAAAAGTAAAAATCCATGAGTGTGATTAAACAAAACCTTATTAAGTATATACTATGTACAATTCCAAAATGCTGAAGGATTAGAAGATTAACAGATACAGGAAAGCCAGAACATTGGCTAAATGATTTGATTTTGGAGGAATAATAATGAATTGTATTGAAGTTTTTATTAAAATGTAAACTCACTGAGGGTGAGGATTATGCCTGTTATTCATCACTGGTGCCTAGAAAATTGCCTAGTGCTTTATGTTTGCTCAGTAAACATTTTTTGAATAATTAAAAGTGTGTTTAGGATGATAGCAGGACATTTAGGGGGACATAATGATCAAGGATAGAGTTAGTTTATTTAATCTTCATTTGCTGTGTAGGCATTACCTTGGTGCTAGAAAAACAAGATCAATTAAACATGGTAAACCCTGATAGAGAGGATCTTGCAGTCCAGGAAAGAAAGGATCAAAGCTGAAAGTAGAGATGTGAGGTTTATTCGTATAGGAGTAGTCATTAAAACCTGTGAGTGAGAAGTCTTGGCAAAGGGGGTTCTAGTTTAGCTTTAGGGGAATTTTTGTTGAATAAATACTTTATTCCCCTTATTTTCCACCAAAATTATCATAGATTTGGAAAAATTAAAAACTAAGAAAACATCTAAACAGAAATAGCCATCAAGCACATGATATTTTGTAATCTGGCATCTAATGCATAGGCCTTTTGTGTGAGCACCTTTCTCTTTTTGCAGGGTCCGGGCTCAATACTCATTCCTCATCAATGCGTGTCATCTGCATCTATAGAGCTGATGATATTAAGTACCACTGGTAAGGTCTAGGAGCTCCTCTCAGGTGTGCCTAGCCTTGCAGAAGACCCAAAATATCAACAAGAAGACATTGAGAAAAAAACATAGTGCATCCAGTTCCATTGAGGAAGCCCTGTATCATGGCAAGTGCAAGAAAACCCAGGTCATTAGTGGAGAAATCATATTGAACAACAAGAATAAGGGGCAAAGCAAAAAAAGAAAAAGGAGAATGAGCTAGGAGCATTCTAATCATGGTGGAATCATGATTAGGGAAGAGTGGGTTAAGAAGAGCTGTTGAGATCAAAGGATTTGAATGGTGAAGTCATGCTTGGATTCATCATGAATATAGTACCTAGTTTGTTGAATAGATACAGTATAATGCAGCTCTGTATGACCAAACAGGTGATGTTTATCCATAAAAATCCACTGGATCATCATACTGATGGGTCTATTTTGATGTATTTAATAATTACAGGTCAAACGTATAATATATGCAAGACATTGTTTTTGAAACTGTGGGAAATTAATCATGAACTTAATAGGAACCCTATCTTCAAAGTTGAAATTAGCAAAGCTTACAAAAGAGGCACTTTCAAAGTAGTTTGGAACTTCCAGAAGAAATTTATTCTATATTCTGGGAAGATTTTACCTAAAGTAAACTCATCCCTAAAGAATGGAAAAGCCTCAGGGCTGGCCTGGTGGTGCAAGCGGTTAAGTGCGCGCGCTCCGCTGCGGTGGCCCTGGTTTCACCGGTTCGGATCCCGGGCGTGCACCGACACACTGCTTGGCAAGCCATGCTGTGGTGGTATCCCATATAAAGTGGAGGAAGATGGGCACGGATGTTAGCCCAGGGCCAGTCTTCCTCAGCAAAAAAAGAGGAGGATTGGCAGGTGTTAGCACAGGGCTGATCTCCTCACACACACAAAAAAAGAGAATGGAAAAGCCTCTGTTGTACGATCACTAAGGAAAAATCCAGTTAGTATGAATGAGGGACCCAAATGCATATCTACGCACAAGAAAGAGGAAAGGAAAGAATGGAGAGGAGGTCAGAAAACAGTAGGGTAGAAATTAAAAACTCCATAAAAAAATCTAAGAAAGGCATGTGGGAGGCTCTACAGGCTTCCCAGCTGATTCACAGGAGACACGTGATTAGAGTTGGCCAAAGGAGGCCAAGGCATTGGGGGCTGCTGTGGGTTCTGCCATGTCCCTTCCTGGGCACGGCCTGGAGTTAGAAGCTCTTGAAGAGATGCTGTTCCTCTTGCTGCTGCTATCCCCCACCTCCCACGGGGCTTGCTCTGCTGCGACCATAAAGCTGAGATGCTGGCAGGGGGCAGATTGCTTTCAACAGAGGGGACTTGATGTGGTTTCCTTGCTGCTGTGGCAGCAACTCAGGCAGCAGCTCCGCTGAAAGAGGCTCCACCTCTTTAAAGGTTAGGCAAGTGATTAACGCGGCAGCTTAAGCCCAAGAAATTCTAAGGACTCTGCTCTAGAGAAGATTAAGTCAGTGGGAGATCCACATAATGAGAGCCCCGAGGAACTATTCTGAAAATCAGAGGAAATTGAAAGGAAAACTTAAAATAACATCTTTTTAAAAGGAAAAGAAAGAAAAATAGAGAGGTTTAATAAATTGATATGACCTCTTACTGGATTGTAGACATTCGAGGTGATAAGTAAATAGAAGGGGGAATAGTGGAAAGGAGAAAATAAAAATAGATGGTGTTTACAACTCTGCAGTGTTTGCCAACCCAAATTACAAGTGCAGACTAGACTGGCAAACTAGCTGAATTTCCTCGGGCACTTCCTAGGGTGTGAAGGAGGGGAAAGGGGGAAGGAAAAAGACCTGAGCTCTGAGGGAAAAAAAGAGAAAAATAAAATCTCTAAAAGTTTGTTTTTCTAGTCTCTGAATGATGATAAGCAAATACGGCAAAAGAGGGTTTAAGGGGAGAATATATTAGAGATGCAGATGAAATACTACATGACTATCTGAAGCTGATGAGTTCTGAAGATTCTTCCCCAACCTCTAACTCCCTGGTCCCATGTCTCTGGGGCTCTGGGAGTAGAAGTGGCTTCCAAGTCTCTGTGCCGTGTCTTGATCCATTTAGTCTTGGAGAAAGGACGGAGGAAGACTCTCACCTCTGTATCTGAACTATTTGAACTCTCCACTCTCCTGTGCAGCTTCTGCCTTGGTGTTTGTCTTTGTTTTACTAATTTCACTGGCAGCTGCACGAGAATGATAAATAAGTATATGGCAGAAGGGGTTTCCATTTCTCTGTTCTCTTCCTTCATTCTAAGCTCAGGACGCTGCTTATGGAACCTGATCGAGTATCTTAAAAACCCTCCTTCTCTCTCCCCCTTCTCCCTCCTGCCCTTGTCTATGGGCTTGGCTCAAGCAGATCTTGGATGACATTTAACTGAAAGCTGACTTTCAGATGGAAAGATCAGGGTATGTCCATGACCTGCCAATATTAGTCTAATTCACTTCCAGGCCATCACATCAAACAACACTGTGTCAACATCTGTAACTTCCAGTTGTTTTATAGAGTGCTGTGGGAATCCAAAGATAACTAAACACAGTCAGTCCCTCAGGCTGATATAGTGCAAAGAGCACGGAACTGAAATCAGAAGAGAGGTGACCTGATTCTGCTGCTGTAATTATGAGTGCCCTCCCTCCACATTCCCTTCTTTAAAATGGTACTCTGCCAGCACTCCAGGGGGCCATGATGGGCCTAGCTGGACAGGCTTCTATTTTATGACACCAAACAACCCAATGACCACAGATTCTTGACTCGGGGATGAGATTGAGCTGAGGTGATCATATTTTATCTCTAAAATATACAATTAGAGTGCTAGATTTAGGGTCAGAATCAATGTTATGATAAAGCAAAGCTCAGGGCAACCTGAAATTTAAAGGTACAGAAACTAAAATTGTTGCAGAGAAAGCTAGTGCACAGAGAAATGAATATAGCAAGTAAGCAGAGGGAAGCAAAGATATGAAACAAGTTTTGAGAGAAAGTAAGATAGAGGCTAAGTGGGGAGCAGGAGACAGGAAGAGAGGAAGCGGGGAGAGAAGCAACTGAAGACTGTCTTATTAGGATGAGGCCTTGTTGTATTGCTTGCAAAGTGTCCTGCGACATTCCTCATATTCCTATAGCAGCCCTTATTTTGACTTCAGCTTGTATATTTTTGTCCTTTGGAACAAAAAGGACATCCATTACAGCAAATGTTGACTGATGTATGACCTAGAATGGGTCATCTCTCCTCGCCTCTCCGAGCTACAACTTGCTTAACTGTATGATGGTGATAGTCATGTCTCCTGGTGACAGAGCAGATGCTACAGGTGAAAATGCAACTCTGATGCTTGGCACTTATCTGCTTTGTAAAGGGCCTCTGAATCCCAGCCAATGCATGAGTGATGGAGAGAGTATCAGAAATACCTCCACTACCCAGGAGGAACATAGAGGATCAGGGGTCTTTGGGGAGGATCAAGTGGCAAAGGCTATGGTGGAAAGGCAAGGGAGGGAAGAAGGAGAATCTGAAATGGTGCTGAGCTTGGCATGGCACATTTTGGCTGATGGGGGACTAGAGATGGAGAAAGAAATTGGAGTTTGGCCAGTGCTTTCCCAACCACATTCACGGATTTGAACTTCAAGTTGGCTTTGGTTTTATTCTCTTTAACGCATATTCAGTTAAAAAAAATCTAGGAGGGCACGTACTAGGTATACTATTAACACAAAGTTCCTCAATCTTTTACATTCATATCACCCCAGTGAAAATTCTGCAGTGTTTTACTCTCTAAAATTTGCATTTAAAAAAGGAGTGGAATTTTTCCAAATATAAATTTATATTATACTATTCAACATATTTTTGATTATATTATCCCAGTAGATTAATATGAGAATCCAAGTAATCCCCCCTCCCCCTAATCTTTTCCTCCATTTCAGAATCAGCACATTTAAAATGCTACCCTCATGGGCAGTGTGTATCCTAAGCCAGCTACATATAGTCCCATTACCAAAAGCAAGATTTTCCTGAGACATCTTGTAGCACAGTGCCTGGCAAGTAGGAAGGGTTCAGTGAATATTTATGGACAAAATTAACCAAGAATATTCTCTCTTAGCTTTCCCACAATTATTAACAAGTTTCATTCCAGGCATTCTGATTCTATAGAGAAACAGAATGAGGAAGAGGTAGAATGGGAGGAGAAAGAAAAGCAATCTTTATTTTTTCTTTAAAGAGAAAATTGGACGACATTCCAATCATAAAAACACGCTGCTATTTGAGTCCAATTGCTTCAGTCCTACACCTTTACCCCCCACCATCTTATGATCAGCAACCCTACGTAAAGCTTTTTGATCTTGAGGTCACTGGCCCTAATGAAAGAAATACCACCATTGCTTCACTTAAGTTTAAGGCAAAAATAGATGAAAAGTTAGAAGACAGGCTAAAAGTTTTATTCTAGTTATAAAAATGATACATGTTCATGGCAGATGAAATAGAAACTAAAATCTAGTTATAAAGAGATTAAAAATCTGAAAGCATTAATTTATAAAAGGGAAAAATCAATCCAAGGACAGAATATATTTTAGATTGGCTCTATGATGGATACAGATTATAGAAAGAAAAGTCAATGAAGACATTTACGAATAGTGTGGGGGTAACCATCCAGGTCCCTAAATTTTGTAGCCCCAGGGCCCTTATGGTTTATTATTATTGTGTTTTTAGTTAGCATGAGCGCTAGTAAGATAGATGTACATACCACAATCTTGACTGTGCTTTAGATTAGCGAGGGTTTTGAATGGTTCTGTCATCAGCAGTCTATTCCTTGGGGCTTCTCGTCTCTCCCAAAAAGACTGATTAAAGATAAAAATGCTATCTTTCATGTAGTCTCCCTTAATTTCTCTCCATCAAGGCAAACACATAAACCTATTTCTTTTAAGTATTTGAACGCTGTGAGAAAATAAATAGGATGACCAAAATAGCATTCATGGAGAAAGTTTAAAACTCACCAAGTTCACATCCTTGGTCTTTTCCATAGATGTGACTCCTGAACATCTTATAATACGAAATAGAAGACTACTGTGGAGGCTGCTGCTCTCCATTATTTTTTTCTGAAACTAGACATCACAGTTCCCTTCTTCTGGAATCGCCTGAGTAAAACATTCCCTGGGTTTGTAAGGTTTCTAAGTGTGCCCGGTGATTTCACTCACAGACAAAGAGGAAGGAACAAATTGCTCTCTCTGCAATTACACCAGGCTGGTCTATTGACACACAAGTGAATGAAATGTTTACACCCTGAGAGGGAGCCCCTGCATCATTCTCAAAATTACAGGCCCTCAGATCACCACTGAATGTCTAGCCCCAGAAAATTTGCAGAGATAGACAAAGAATAAAGGATAGAGAACATAGCACCAGCAGTAAATAGCTGTATTTATGGCATTGTGTCATAATGGAAACATCAATCCTGTTTTCTGAGGAAACTACTGAAAATCCTAACCATAATATTGTCCTCTACTTGACTGCCAGATTGGCTTATAACTTATTCTTTTGAAAAGCTAGAATCTAAATTCTCAGTGCCATACAGAGTACAACCTCAAGATGAAACTGTAAACAATTTCCAAGGCTCATTGAACACAGAACAGACATATCCAGGATCAAACCATCGATTCCAAGGTTGGTTTCTGAGCTGTTCTCAGATGCGATGGATAGATGAAGTAGAAGAGTACCTGAGCACCTAGCCTGGTACTGGGCACATAATAAACTATTATAATGTTCATTTATTTATGAATTTAAAAGATATCATAGTTAATTCAGAATATGGCCATTTGTGCAATGAAAGCTTCTGGAGCAAAAACCACATTTGAGAGAATCTTCTCATATTTCGTGCACATGAAAAATAATTTGGGATAAACTTTAATGTTGTTTACATTTAGAGATACAGTCCTTTTCAACACAAACCTTTAATCTAATAACCAGACCAACCACAAGTTCAAAACTGTAGTGTTGACAGTGCAAAGGGGCTTCATTAAAAATATAAATAAATAAGCAGTCTCTGATGACTTCATCTAAATATCCTGCCTTTAAAAATCTCTATCTTTGTTTCTTCTTCACACAAGACCTCTTTCTATCTCCAAAATTTCAACTACTACACTCATTAGATCTCTCCAGATGGATCCAGCTT